TGGGGAACTGGGCCTTGTCCTCGGGCTCCACCGTCATCTGTTTATCCCAGTGAGATGAACTTCCCTCTTTATACAGACGGAACTCCTGGGCCCCCAGAGCCCCCTGACACCAGATGGTCACAGGGTCCCCCCAGGGGATCACAGAGCCGGGCTCAGCCCAGAGGGAGGGCTTGGGGAGGGCCCCTGCAAGGAAATCAGGCCTGTCAGAGGCACCCCTCAGTTCCCAGCCCTCAGCCCAGGACCACCCCAGACTTCCCCTCCATCACCCCAGAACCGCCGGTCTCCCCCAGCTGCCCAGGGCTGGCCCCTCCCAGTGAGGAGACGCAGCCACCTCACACCTGGGCGCACGCTCACCTGCCTGCTCTGGGGTCCCGGCGCCCACACTCAGCCCTGGAAGAGAGTCCGGTGAGAGGCCCCCCGAGTCCTGACAGACCCTCCCCGGGGCCTCCTGAGGCCTGGGCCTGCCGTGGCCCCCCAGGCCAGGGCGCCCCCTCCTCTCAACTCACCCAGGCAGAGCAGAACCGTGAGTCTGGGAGTCATGGCGGCCTCTCCAGGAGCCGCTGTGCAGGAGGCCAGGGGGCAGGATGTACAGACCACGGGGTGGGACTCTGGGCTGGTCCTTCCTGTCATAGTTGTGACATCTTTCCCCACAGGAAGGGGAACTGTCTCCTGGCCCTGCTCTGGTGTTTTCACAGCACATTCCTGAGGTGCCCCCTACAGTGGGGTAACCCAGGGTGGGATCCCCAGAGTTTCCCCCATCCTGCAACAGCGCATCCTGGGGTCCTCACCCCATCAGGGTCCAGGCCCTGGAGTTGCTCAGGGGAGGGCCCCTGGCACCGCAGAGCTGCGGTCACAGTCTCCAGGTACCACCCATGTGGGGGTCAGGCCAGGCCTGCCCAGCGGGCACCTCGGGGGCTCTGGGCAGGGCCGGCCTCGCCGCCTGAGTCTGGCTGCCCCTTTCACATCCCTCTCTCCACTTCTCTTTTTCTTGCCAAGCCTCCACCCACCTTCCTGGTGAGCCACCGTCCCCTGGTGCCCACCGCTGGGGCAGCCTCAGCTCCCACTCACCAGGGTTATTTCAGTGTTTACTTGCCAGGCTGGAGGCCGGTTTTTGCCTCCAAATCACCCTTCATCGTTCTTACTGGCGTGTGGGCATGTTTGGGAATAGTCTGCTGGGAAAAGGATCTCTAAGACTAAACCGGGCGCAAAACTCCGTTCCAAGCCGACAAAGACCTGTGAACCGAAACTGGAACTGCGCCCCGGGCCGCCGTCCGCAGCACCATCCAGGGGAGGACCCCGCACCCTGCCGCCGAGGGCGCCCTGCATCCACGGAGCAGTGCGAGGGTGCGGGGCCGGACAAGTGGAACCCCGGAACCCCGGGTCCTCTCTGCTATTTTACAATAAATCAATAGGAAAAAGCTACCGAGAGGCTCCCGCGCCCCGGTCAGGCTGCACGGACCCGAGTGGCCAAGGCCCGGACGCCGAGGGCCCGTCGTCCGCACGGGACGGACCCAGACGTCGGGACGGGCGCGGCGGGGTGCCACGCTGCTCTTCGGCAGGTCCGAGGGGTGAGTCGCAGGAGGTGACTGAAACGGAACAAGTGAAACAGCGGCGGTAAGACGGTGTGCGCGCTGAGCCCGCGCTGGGAGGCCCCGGCCAGGCCGCGGGCC